TTCCATCTGGTAAGAAGATTGCGTAATTCATTAATAAGTTTCTTTGTCGGATCCCTATCTATAATCTGGTATGTATTAATATCCAAAAGTATAAGATTCATTTTTTTATTGTAATTATCCTTATCCATAACCGTAACATTATCCTACTTTGGTGAAAATTAAATTAAAGTGTTCTTTAACAAAACTTTTAGTACTTTTAGTAACTTAACCTTGACCCAGTTAAAAAGTAATCTGTCGTTAGAATAATCAGAAGAATATTAATATTAGAAAGTTTATGTATTATTGAAATTAATTGAGATCTAACAAAATTAACAATGTTATTCGGACGGTCTACAATACTGTTCTCAATGTGCTTAATAAATTCAATTAAGATCCTATCTTTGTTATTCGGTGTTAATGGTAATAACGCGAATCGTTTTCCTAATTATAACAAACATTTAACCTCATGAGGAATCTCTGTATTACTCAAGTTGGTAAACCATTTCTTATGGAATCTATCTAATGGATTCACAACTAAAATTACTTGCAAAAACATTAACCTTAATAATCTCATTAAATCTCTGATCTTCATCATATCTCATCAGATAAAGACGTTATTATACTATCTGTGTATTCAGAAGACTGTAAAGTGTGCAAATCAACCGTCGGAACAAAACAAGAATACAAGGTCTGTTCAAAAAGTATCGCGAATTTTGTGTTTTTTCAAAAATTATTTATTTATTCATGAATATCTATTTTGTCCCCTTCAAAGTAATCCCCATCAGATATTATACACTTGTGCCAACGTTTTTTCCAATCCTCGAAGCACTTCAAAAAATTATTTTTTGTGATCTTGTTCAGCTCCTCCTTCGATGCCGTCTTTATCTCCTCAATCGTAGCGTAGCGTCGTCCTTTCATGGGCCTCTTCAGTTTCGGGAACAAGAAAAAGTCACAGGGGGCCAGATCTGGGGAATACGGTGGCTGCGGCATCATTAGTGTGTTGTTTTTGGTCAAAAATTCGCGCACAAGCAACGATGTGTGAGCAGGGGCGTTATCATGGTGCAAAAGCCAATTTTTGTTCTTCCACAAATCCGGGCGTTTCTGGCGGATTGCTTCGCGCAAATTGCGCATAACTTGCAGGTAATATTCCTTATTGACCGTTCTACCCTGTGGCAAGAACTCATGATGCACCACGCCCCTGCAATCGAAGAAAACTGTAAGCAAAACCTTCACATTCGACCGAACTTGGCGCGCTTTTTTCGGTCTTGGCTCGTGCGGCAGCTTCCATTGGGATGATTGAGCTTTGGTTTCCACGTCATAACCATAAACCCATGATTCGTCACCAGTTATGACCCTCTGGAGCAAATTTGGGTCGTCGCGGACAGAGTCCAACAGCTCCTTAGCAATGTTAATGCGATGCTGTTTTTGGTCGAAATTGAGCAATTTTGGTACGAATTTCGCGGCGACCCGTCTCATGCCCAAATCATTGGTAAAAATCGAATGGCACGAGCCAATCGATATGTTTAGGTCCTCAGCAACCTCTCTAACGGTGATTCGACGATTGGCCAATACTATTTTCTTCACTTCATCAATGTTTTCGTCTGTTGTTGACGTGCTCGGGCGTCCGGCACGCTCTTCGTCGTTCACATCTTCTCGACCCTCTGAGAACATTTTGTACCGATAAACGTTGCTGCTTCGGTCCAAGGTAGCTTCACCATATGCCACAGTCAACATTCGGAATGCGTCCGCGCACTTAATTTTGTTTTTCACACAAAATTTGATACAGATTCTTTGATCCATTTTTTGGAATAGGCAAAAATCGAAGACGAGCCAAAACACGTGCAAGCAAAGCAGCTGTCAAAAATTAACTGAACATTCAAAATGGCCGAACTTGTCGGCATAAGTGAGAGACATGAGTACCAACATAACGCCACAAAAAAATCGAAAATCGAATATACGTAACCCGCGGAAATTCAAAATTCGCGATACTTTTTGAACAGACCTCGTATGTGTAACGATGCACTCTGAGTGCATCTGAGTGAGTCTAAACGAGCTTCGACATTGTTATCACCAATCCGTATTTGAAATAGGCTAATGCACAGGTGACAGCCGTTCTGCCAGAGTGTTTCGAAACCGACCAAATACCGCCGACTGGTATCGCTCCCGCTCGTATTGTCAACCAGCGAAAATCGTCGAGCGTTTCCGAAATAATACGAGCGGAAGCAACAATTCGTATATAAGAGCGCGAATTCGTAGAGAGCAACAATTCGTATATAAAGACGCGAATGCTAGTCGATTCTTTTCTTCTGCCGCAATTCCGTTCCGATCCAATCCGACTCCTAGTGACCGTTACCGTCGCGAGAAGAAGTGGTCAAAAGTACTCTGCCACTGTCGAGAGTTCTCGATAGCGACTGACCGATCTCCTGCATACGACCGCTGCATCGACGGGGACATAATTCCAGAACAGAGGAAATTCTGTCCTGCCGAGCGGATAGACCAGCTGCAATCCTTGCGCCGTTGCACCGACGGGATTTCTCTGATCAGAGCGTACTCTGCCTCGCCGAGCTTCTGTGGTCGCTGCATATTCCCCGTGCCGCTCCAGCAATAGAAAGAGAATAGAGCGTATTCCGTCTTTGTCGAGAGATTTTCGGCCGCCTGGTGCACGCATCTTACGGCATCAATAATAGTCAGGGATGGAGTCTTCTCCGTCTCCGCCGAGAATTCTCGGCCGTCGAGCGCCACCGCTCTCAAAATCCGTTTTCCATTACCGCGGAGAAATATCGCGCCGCGACTGCGATTAGGATTCGCGCCTAGCGTGTACCCGCGTCCGCGACAACCAATTGCACTGCGCGCAGCTGATTTCCAATGCATATGTCGCGTATTGTCAACGCGCTGCAACCGAGGGGTTAACCACTCTTGAATTTCGGTGTACAATCTGTCAAAAGTCCGGTGAAGTCCGACGAAGTCCGAGGAATTCCTTGAAGTCCAATAAAGTCCGATGAATTCTGATGAAGTCCGATGAATTTCGATGGTCAGATGAATTCCGATGGTCAGATGAATTCTGGTAAAGGTCCGATGAATTCCGGTGAAGTCCGATGAATTCTGGTGAAGTCCAATGAAGTCCAGCGAAATCCGATGAATTCATGAATTCTGATAAAGTCTAGTCTATATCTTGAATTATATCTTGAAATCCGAAGTCCAGGTGTACTCGTATACCTATTTTTTGAATGATTACCCTCTCGGCTGCGACACAAAAAGCTATCTGTAGCATCCACCGAGCAAAACCGCGTTCAGCGAAACACGTATGCGCTTACAAACATACACACCCGCGCGTGCGTATGAACAGATATTGTAACCTATTGTAAACACGACAGCACATGAATCACACATTACACAGTATCAATACTCTAATAAACGCATTTTCTTTGTTACGATCTTTGTAGTCAATCTGTATCTCACCTTCCGTTCGAACCTCTTTTGCATTCTTACCAGATATGCCCGTTCCGACGAGCTATTCCGCGCGAAAGTTAGGTTGTTATATTATATAATATATATCGTTGAAAAACTAATTACTATTTGTTGTGATTATTATAATTTTAATAAAGTAGTTTTAAACTGAATTTGTAATAAACTTTCTCTCTCTTTCTCGCGCGCGCGCGCACTTTCATTTGAGACCATTTTATTTGCTCTTAATTAACCTTTCTTCTATTTAATTTTTTTTACAAATCAGGGCTACAGAATAAAGATTTGTTTAAATAATGAAAGCATTAACCCTGTTATATAATTCTTTGTATCTACTGAGAGATTTTTCTTCTTATATATAATTATATTTATACTAGATGTACAAGTATGAAATGCGGATTTAAAAAAAAA